GCGGCCTCGTTCTCCTCCAATTCTGTACGTCGACAACAAGGCAATGCTTGCCTTGTGTCACGAGCAGAGACTGGAGCACAGAACGAAGCACATTGCTCTTCGCTACTTTCTTGCTCGAGAGCTGCAGCAGCGTCGTCAGCTTCGCCTTTCCTACGTGGCCTCTCGGGCCAACACTGCTGATGTCTTCACCAAGGCCCTTGGGTCTGGTGATCATCAGCGTTTCTGCACTGCTCTTGGGCTTCTGCCCACTCTGCCTCACCTGCTGGTTGCTTGACTTGCATTGTACTGTGGTCTCTATATATATACCTGCATGCTTGCTCTTGCTAGGATGTGATCACTGTACTGCTTGTGCTTTTATAACTCTGCATGTGAACTGGCCTTGTGGCCGCTTGCTTGTGCTCTGACTGCGTGGTGATATTGAGATCCACCCTGCGCTTTGCTTTGTTTTCTTCTTCTGACTGGTCTTGTGACCACTGTTTGGTTTGGCTATCCCCTACTTCACCTATGGGGGTGTGTCAAAACATTATATGCTTTCTATCTTTCTAGGCTACGTAGGGGTTATCCTTCGAGGGTAAACAACATTTCTCGACACTCTTGTACCCCCCCCTGACCTTCTCACTCGATTCGAACATTTAGGAGTACTCTAATGCGCATAACTGACATACCACTTAGGGAAATCCCGCGACAATCACGGACCCTTTGTTAAGGGCTCGTTCTACCAGGCACCTGAATACCCATGGAGGTGACCCCGTAGGGACTACCTATTGTGTATTAAAGGTATGCTTAGAGCTTCTAGATCACAATTAGGGTCAATTTTGGATTTTTACGAGTCAGCACGTGGACGAATTTGCGTTTCGCAGAGAAAAAAATGTATGCGCTATGTCAATTTCCATTGGAGTATAATATGGTTTCGATTATAAGACATATACGTTCGACTTATACTGCTGAAAGGGCCTCTTATAAACAGAACACCCATTTTTAATACGCTACCCTAATCAAAGGCACCCCCTGTCTTCAATTCCACACTGTCTTGTCCGGGCGATGACGGTAAAACACACATATATATATATATATATATATATATATATATATATATATCAATTTGTCGTACACCATCACCATTCGACACTAAGAAACCGAAGTTCCGAGGATAAAAGCCCATGTGCAGTCATTCTGGGAAAAATCAGCAATTGTTGAGTGGCTTCAATTGCAGCCAGTTCTTGAGGCTATCCCTTATCGAGCTAATGCCATGAATGAGCTTACATCAGAATGTGAGCCATGAGACTGCTCATAATCCCTCCCACCATCTCCAAACGACACAGCAGAAACATTCCTCGAAAACACATATTTGTTTGTTGCGCTCTCTCCTTCTGGAACACCCTCCCACTCCTCCTCCCTGTCCGGACAGTGCTTGTCAATGAGGGCACTGAGGCGGTATGCCACATCCTTCATGGTGGGTCGCCGTGTGCCTGGAGATTTGATGCAGTCCAAAGCCAGGTCTGCAAAGTCCACTATGGCCTCCTCGCTTGCCGCTGGCATCTTGCTGTCTCTGAGCTCATCCAGCTCATACCCCTCTACCAGCTTTACTGCCTGGATGTCGTTCACGCAAGGAAGGATGATGAATGAGGGAGGCAGCACAAAGGAGCATGATTGGCAGCAAAGGAGTGGAAGGAAGCACGATGAACACCAAAGGCAGTGAAATCTATTATGAGCAGTATTCAGAAGGATAGCCGTGCGGCCACAAAACATTAGTATGGATCTGAGATTTGATGGACATTTTTTTTTTTTTTTTTTTTTTTTTTTTTTTTTACCTCGTACGCGATGAGCATACCCATTTTCTTATATGTGTTTTTGCATCGACTTGGGGAGATTTCCCACTCAGCAACTGAAGAAGCACGATTCCAAAGCTGCAAGCAATAATATGATTGGACGTACAAGAAAAAACCTCGAGATAAATAGACAGAGATAGAGATAGCAATACAGGGTACAATCCCGTGGAGGTCAACAAATTTCGAGAACAAAAGCATGAAAACAGAGGTGTACAATCCTGTTGTGCAAATGAAATAGCACGCGCACCTGAAGACATCACTCTTAGCAGTGATGATGTTGGTGCGAACGTAGTCCGGATCCACGTAGCCAGGAGTGCCAGCCACTCGCGTGGCATCAGCATCGCCGTGAGTGAGGCGCTTGAGCAGCCCAAAGTCAGCCACCTTGGCTTGCATGTCTGCTGACACAAGGATGTTGGCTGGCTTGATGTCGCGATGAATGATGGGTATCTCAAACCCATGCAGGTACGCCAGGCCCTCTGCTGCTCCCTGTGCCAGGCGCAACCTCTGGCGTAGCGAGAGCGGATCTGGGACATGAAATACGTATATGGAGGCAAAAACGTAATTTTATGAGTGATGGTGTCACAACAATGAGAATCCAAGTCAACCATTTAGCCATCGTGGCAGAGCAACTCACTCGTGGTGGCATGGATGTGGTGATCCAGGTCCCCGTTGGCCATGAACTCGTACACGAGGATCTGCTCCTGCTTGCCCGTCTCCACGTTCTGGTCCAGGCAGAAGCCCAGCAGGCGCACGAGATGCGAGTGGTGGAGAGAGGCCATGGCTCGCACCTGCAGCGAGCGCAGAGGAAAGACGAGCATTACGTCACGGAGTCCGCAGGACGAATTGTCAAAACTACCGTTTTTCCCATGTGGTATGTGGGCAGAATGCAGGGAACTAGATATATGGCTCACCTCCGTCTCAAAGTCGTTGGTCATGATGCTGGAGCGCTTGACGGCCCACAGCTGGCCCTGTGGCGATCGGCCTTTGTAGACAACGCCAAAGCCACCCTTGCCCACCACATTGTCTTCTGACCAGTTGTTGGTGGCACTCAGCATCTGCTGTAGCGAGAACTGCTCGCACACATCCAAACCCTCCCACTTCTCTGTGCGCACAGAAGTGGAGTGATCAACCACGGGAGGCAGTGCAAAGTGGGTAGTGCACGAGTGGGCAGTGCAGAGGCAGAGTTGTACGGCAGGAATAATGGCAGAGGGCAGCAAAGGAGGCCAGAAACCGGGTACAGAAATGGGGGAGGAGCAGGGAGTGGAACTGAACGGTAGAGGGGCTCACTTGGTCCGCGGGGCCACAACAACCATGCGAGCACAACAGCCAGAAAAGTGAAGGCAGCAAAGCCGCCCAGTACAATGCCCACTATGGCGCCTGTGGATAGAGTTGACACTGTAGGAAGGGCGGTTTAAGGGGAAGAGGGATGTGGTTAGGGGGAGGTGTCAAGGTGAGGAAGGGAGTGATAAGGTGTGGTTGCCAGAAGCATCATGACACTGATGAGAATGAAGCAGTGATGTAAGAATGCAGCAGTGCAGGTATAGAAGTGAAGCAAGGGTTACCAGCGGTGCAGCAGGTAAGAACTAGGCAGTGCTGTAAGAACGGGTTACAAGTGGCCCAGCATGTAAGAATGAAGCAGTGCTGTAGGAATGAAGCAAGGGTTACCAGTGGTGGTGTTGGAGTAGACAATGGCGCATGAGGAGCCGTTGCCCGAGTCGACAGCAGTGTAGCCGGCATCACAGAGGCACATGAAGTTGGTAGGGGAGGCAGGGTCAGGCTGCACACACTCCCCATGTCCATCACACGGGCCGTTGGCAGTGATGCTGCAGAACGCCTGGCAGGCTGCCGTGCTGCGCTGGGTGGCATTCGAGGAACACTTGGTATTCGGGCTGAGGGTCAGGCAGTTGCCCGACAGACTCACCCTCACCTCCCTGTCTGCGCTCGCCACAGAGATATCTGTTGGACCAGTGAGATCGGGGTTGCTGCACTTGCCACCAAACACCCATACTGAGGAGTCCTTCATGTGAAGCTGGTTGGGCTCGCCGACCTCAGTGGGGCAGACCTTGCAACCGGCAGCAAAGAGCAAGGCTTCCCCGAAGAAGAAGTTGTTAGCCAAGTTGATGAGCGCACTGCCATCCGCCACCATGTTCTCAAAGTCACGGTTGACGCGCCCATACAGGCTGTTGCCGCTCACATCACTGTGGGAAGCACGGGGTTGACACGGAAGGCAGAAAAAGATGTCGAGTGTTCGGTTGGAGGTAGTCCCACCATAGTCGTAACACCATGCACATGCATCTCATCACTCGCTGTCATGCCCGTGTTGAATGCATGCAATGCAACCATCGTTGGCTCACATTTGGTTGATGCACTTGTCAAAGAGGCAGTCTGGCAGGGGCCCGTAGAGGTGGTTGTTGCTGATCATGCTGCCAGCAGCACAACACACACCATGACACACCATGAGTCACATTACGCACCCATCCAAATACAAAACACACTGAAAGTGAGACGTGTTCACACATATTGTAACATTTTTAAACCATGTGTACACTGTCCTGGCTGAGAAATTTCTCATTTGTGCATGCCATGCATTCACATCACATGTACCTAAGCCACTCACATGCACCAAAGCCACTCACAAGCGCCATATCCAGGGCAGCGAGCATAGGCTAGGTGGCAGAGGGCCTTCAATCTTGTTGTTGTCCAACCAGCTGTGGGAAAGGCAGAGCAGTGGCCGGAGCAAGGAAGGTGCCGACGGTGGCATGCAAAGCAGCAGGGTAGCGTGGGAATGGGTATGGTACAGATGATGTTTGCGTGTGTTTTCTACTTTTACATTCACAGTGAGGACGTTTGCTACACTCATAGGGTCGTAGCAACAATCGGATGTACGCTTCTGCTTGTTCTGCGTGTATTGCTTCCGTGCTGTCAATGCTGTTGAGAAATGTAGGGGGGGCAGACAGATAGCAACCTCACTCACATCTGTTGGAGTTTCTGCAGTTGGCTGATGGCAGCTGGCAGACTGCCAGTGAGGTGGTTGTTGGCCAGGTAGCTGACGTCAATGGCAGTCGCAGGGAGGCATTGCAATGAGAAGTATCGTATGCAAGAGCAGTCCGAGCGAAGGCAGGAAAGCACCTTGAGGGGCAGAAGAGAAATCCAAACTTATTTGAGGCTTACAGGTGTTTCAGATTCGTCATGGTGAAGATCGCAGAGGGGATGGTGCCTGTCAGCTGGTTGTTGTTGAGAAAACTGCAGGGCATGGCAAACGGGCAGATCGGTTGAACTGCGCACTGAGCAAGTGCAGGTAGATGGCGCACTGAGCAAGTGCAGGTAGATGGCAAGCATTACGGCTCGCTGTGGCACAAGAAGAGAAGGCTCACATGCCGTCAAGGGAGGTGAGGGTCGAGATGGAGTCGGGAATAGACCCTGTGAAGTTGTTGCCGCTGAGGTTTCTGAGCCACAACACATGCGAGTCAGCAACAAGAGAGCCTGGCGTGAGTGGGGTGAACGCAACTGCTTACTATGGGTGCAATGCAATACATGGGAACGTATGTATGGCACGGATCCCATGGTGCTAAGAATGAGATTGAGCAAGCGATGCTTAGAATGGGACAAGGAGGAAGAGAGTGCGGGAAGACTTGCTTACATCTGTGTACAGCTGATGTTCCAGCGTGAGAAGTCTGGTAAGGAACCTGTGAAGTCATTTCCTCCCAAGTTACTGCACAGTGCAAACGGAGATAAGAATGCAAGGGGCATGAATGTTAGGCATGAAGGGACAGCATTGCACCAGGCAGCACACAGTTGTTGCACTGCTTACAGTATTTCAAGAAGAATGTTGCTGCTGAGAGTCCGTGGGAGTTCCCCAGAAAGAAAGTTGTTCGATACTGCCCTGTGTCGGATGGAGGGGTGTAGACGGAGGGCTGAAAGCAGCTGTTAGAAACCCAAGGAAACTGCCAAAGCACATGCATGCATTGTGGGCCCCAAAGCGATAGACACGAAGCTTGGTGTGCAGGGAGACACATCCAGAGCAAGCAAAAGGCATGCGAATTCCATTTAGTACTCAGCAGCAGAGTAGAAAACTTGCGTGCAAAGCACCATTTGCCATTATATTTCTGAGAATAGTTAATAAGTATTGTGTGCACCGTATTTTCAAAAGAAGAGATGAAGGCACCTCAAGGTGGAAGATGGAAGAAAAGGATGTTCTGAAACAGGTATGATGGAGCAACTTACAGGGAGGACAGCATGGACAGCCGGAGCAGGCCATATGGGAAGGTTCCACGAAAATTGTTGTCATTAAGATTTCTGGGCATTGTAAAAAAAAAAAAAAGTCAAAGTGGAGTCGTTTTTTCAAGAAGAAGGCAGACTTGATAGGATCTTCGACACCCAGTCATTGCCCTACTTGGAGAATCTTCCCGTTCATGTCCTCCTCCTATCCGTTCTAGTTTCAGTACGCTAGCAATAACAACGTTTTGATTTTTAACGCTAGCGCACCCAAAACCAGTAGTCTACCAGAACGCGTCACATTTCACACATTGATCCTGGGAGGGATTGATGTGTGGGGTGAACAGTAACTCCGCAATATCGTTAATGTCTATGTATCCTTTCTTCGTTGAAACTCGCAAAACGTGACATATTTTTTTCGCCACAATCGTGTCCCCTCCAGTTGGCAAGATCGGTGGGCCTCTAAGGCCACATCAATCATGCAATTGATTGTGCGGAAATGCTGATCCTATGTTGGAAAATACGCGTATGGCGTACGGAACGCGTACGAACTATACGGTATCGTACATACGCGATACGCAAATTTCCAGCGTACAAAAAACCTCGAAATACGGTGCGTCGGGCAGGTTAAAAATTTCTAGGGCAGGGGAAAAACATTTCGGTTGAGGTAGAATGCTTATAGGGAAAGAACTTAAGCAATACTTGATGCGGATAACTCCCGTGGGGTTTACGCCAGTACGAAATTGTTGGCTAGAATCGTCCTAATATTGCGGTTCCTAAGATCTGCAAGTGACGCGACGCCGCTGCTAGCAATAGCAGTAAACTTGGCGTGAGACAAATGAGATTCGCTGTTGTACTCACGCCGACGTGCGAGCAGCTCGTAAGGGAAGGTTGGGTTTGGGAGGTGGTGTGAGGTGATGTGCGGTGGAGGGGAGGGGAGGGGGGCATTCGAGTTTCGAATCTCAAAATTAGGTTTCACAAAATTGCAGATCGCGGAATCAGCGGCAACAGATTTTTTCTCTTTTTTTTTCGGGCTGCCCGACGAAACGTATCGCGGATTACGGAACGTATCACGTTTTTCCGTATATACGTTCTCGTATAAACGTGATACGCGTAGAAGCCCGAGCGTTTTTTCCAACATAGTGCTGATCGCCGTCGCAAGATTCATATGCGGTAACAGGGTGACATCAATTGTTTTTGTGTGCGTCATTGCAATAGCGACACAGTACGACTTCGCCCCCAGCCTGCAATTCATGTGGCCCATGTGGCTCGGGGTAGCAGCCGATAGTGCAAACACGCAGTTGAGAAGCACGGTGTGGCAATTGATGCTCACAGGTTTGGTGCGCACACCCGATCCTCGTCTGATGCTCCAAATGTGTCGCGTCCTGATAAAAATTGTGCTGTATCAAGCAGCTGCGCCACTCACAAATTCATCAGGTAGACAAGGTTGGTCAATCCGTGGGGGATGATCCCTGTGAAACTGTTGTTGCTCAAGTTCCTGCCATGGTCATTCCAATTGCGATTGCGCATGAGTTGCTCAGACAGTTGTTCCAGGGGGTACTGGAAGAAAAGTACTTCACGTTTTTAAGGGAATAGCGACATTTGTTTCACCGGGTCGACCCGATTTGAGGTTTTCGCCGGGTCGAGTAGCTCCTCTGGTGGGCTTGACCCGATTAGGTCAACCCGACCAAACGTGACCCAACTCTCGGTTCGGTTCGGGTCAGCGTGGCAACCGATCCGACGCCAGGTACATGCCGATCCAACCCCTTAAGGACCAGGGGTTAGGGAAAATCCTCAGCCTCAGGCCTATCTGGCCCGGCCTGAGCGAAACCGGGTCGGGTCGGGTCAGGTCGGGTCGACCCCCCTTGCCTTGCAACCCGCTTTTGTTCGAGGCCGCGTGCGGATGGCTTACAGGGAAGCAAGAACCTTTTGGCGCAGAATAAAATTTGGAAAAGTTCCAGTGAAGTGGTTGTTTCCAATATCCCTGAACAATGAGGCCCAGATACAGTGTGCGTGGGGGGGTGGGTGGGGGGGGGGGGGGGGGGAGGGAGATGATGAAACAAATACAGCGTATGGGAAAGCATGCATTCAGGCGTTCGTCTACAGGCCACTGCACATGTGCACAAACAGGTGGCCCTTGATGAATGCGCGAATAAAGGAATGCATGTACACAACCAGAAGCAGCCCAACACATATAAACAAATCGACACGTATCGAATTCATTTACGCACACATGCGGTTATCCACCATGAAGTGAAAAGAGATTATACATGTATTGAGTATAAAAGTAGTCTCAATATCACCGGGCAGTCACAATGCTAACTGTTGCTGCATCCCACCCCCAGTTGGTGCTACAAAGGGTTGTTGTACTCACGAGGAGAAACGGATGGAATGGACTCACAGATAATAGAGGGCACTGAAAGCTTTGAAGGACGGTGGAAGTAAACCAGAGAAGTTGTTGGTATTGAGGCTTCTGCAAAGCCGGTATTAGAAAAAAAACGTCGCAGATGTTGCAGGCAACCAGAATGAACGAAGGGAGGCGAGGGAAAGCAAGGAAAGGGCCAATAGGTGGATGCTGAAGTGGTGAGGAAGGGAGAATATACTCACATGTAACGAAGCCATGTCATCTGAGCCACCACGTCAAGGCCTGAGTTGAGATTGTTGGCAGCCATGTCTCTATCAATTGAAGTGCGCACACACAAATACACACACCCACACACACACACACACATACACACACACACACACACACACACACACACACACACATGCACGCACGCACGCACGCACACACACACACACGCACACACACACGCACACAAAGACACACACTCAAAAACATACACACACACACACCAAACAGACACAGACACACATACATGCGCGCGCACACACACACACACACATGCACGCACGCACGCACGCACGCACACACACACACACGCACACAAAGACACACACTCAAACACATACACACACACACACACACACACACACACACACACACACACACACCAAACACACACAGACACACATACACGCACGCGCACACACGCACACAAAAACACACACACAAACATATACACACACGAACACACCAAACACACAGACACACATACACAGACACGCATACAAACACACACACACCAAACACACACAGACAGACATACACACACGCACACACACTCACACTCACACACACACACACATGTACGAGGCAATGAAAGCCTGGGAACGCAGCAGTTGTGGTAAAACAAGGCACAGCAATGAATAATTGATGGCCTGCAATCAATTCTGTTCATTCAGCAGCTTAGTGTAGTGGGGGCAGGGAGAGGTACAATGGGGCAGTGTAGCATGGGGAGAGACATACAGATCGGTGAGGCGAGTGAGGCGAGTGAATGTGTTTGGGATGCCTCCAGAGAACGAGTTGGAGGATAAACCACTGCAGCCAAACAGGAACCATTCCAAATTGCAATAAATACAACCTAGGTTAGGTTTGGCCAAACGTTTCTGGTTCGGCCCAGGGCTGTCAAATGGTTCGACAGTCCGATTAGGGCCCAAAAACATTCCTCTCGGCATTCCCGTCAAAAGCGGGAATGTCCTAGGGTTGGCTGCCATTTCACGGCAGCCAACTCCAAATATGTTCTAACGACCTCACCCTCCCTGCCATCATTAAATGCGTCCTATCTATAGTATTTACAGAAAACAACCCTTTCAAAGGGAACCTAGAATATTCCGTTTTGCTAAGCTTAAAACCGTTTTCTGAAAGAAAGGAAAAAAAAAAAAAATCTAAAATTATGTCAAATGGTGGTGGCCAGCCAGTTTATGGGGCCGTTAGAGAGCCCCATGAGGGTCCTACATTGGGTGGGCCGCCAGGTGCTCACAACCCCCCAACCCCAGCCAGATTTGGGGAGGTCTCCTTGCCTTTCCCCAGGTCGTTCACACCTTCAGGGTGGGAACTTATCTTCGGTTCACACCTTCATGGTCGTTTGGGGTTTGGGGGGGCTGTGAGATGGCGGTCCATTCCCTTTTTGTGGTGCTGTATTTGACTTGAATCTGTCCTTGTAGATGGCCTTCTTAGCAGGCACTTTGGCCCCATGAGTACTGTGGGTTATCTTTTATAAACCTTGCTCTTCTATGCTGTTTGTGTTGACTGCTATTTGGGATCTAGACGCTCTTAACACACCTTTAAAACACACTAGGTAGTCCCCACGGGGTCACCTCCAAGGGTCCTTGGGTGCCTGGTAGAACCACCCCCTATCCAAGGGTCCGTGTTTGTAGAGGGATTCCCTAAGTATGAAAACGTCGTGTGCTCTTAGAGCATTCCCAAACTCATGTGCGGAAGCGTTAACGATTGATTGGTACGTGTGCAGAAAATTCTCCTCGCGTCAATACGTCGATAGAGAATATTTTCACTCGTCAAAGTGTTGCACAAAAGGTTGATTACAATCAAACACAAGCACACATTTATAGAAAGTCTAATGAACGAGCAAAGGAGACACAAGGCAAACATTAAACAGTTATACAACTGTAACCTAGGACTTCGCCATGTCTTGGTAAAACGGTTGTCAAACTTCAGCTGCATTTGGCTTGATCCGCTTCATGAGAATAACTGATTTCAAATGACACTCCATCCAAACGCCCCTGCTGACTCCCTTCGCGAGCACTCATGAATTCCGTTAACATTCATGAAGCCTCGTGTGGGAAAACCGTTTTCCCGTTGTAAAACGGAATATACCGTTGCAAAACAGCATTTACCGTTTTGTACCTTTGTCGAAATGATCACGCAAAGTCGCGTGACTTTCTGGCGAAAGTTCATGTTTGCCAAGTCAACTCGGGATACAGTTTTTCAACTGTAAATCCCGAGCTCCCCACGTGCCAGCCAGCATGACCGAGATATTTCTCGGTCATGCAGGACAGGACGATCGCTGACGCGATCGTGCGCTGTCCTGGCGCGGGACAGGGCAGTAATGTCCCCTGTCCTGTTGCGATCGTGGGCCCTGCCACGCTCGCAACAGTGCGAGGCACACGCACGAGGCCTGAGGGGCCACACGCGCGTGTCAGGACCCCACACGCGGGTCCCTGACATTCGCGCACTGTACCTTGACCAGTGCGAAATAGTCAAAGTGGCAAAAACACTCGCCACTCACTCAAACGCAGGAGAAAACATAAACTCTCATGAACTCTCATGAAAGCTCACTAAAACACATGAGAAACAATGAGCGCACGCGCAAACTCATGAACAATCGCGAACTCACGCGAACTTACCGAAACTCACGAACTTTCATGCTCTTTCACAGAAACTCATGAACATTCATGAACACACATGAAATGCACTCACACACAAAAGTGCACATAACTTATGAACCGCTAAGGCGATTCTCAAACCGTAAACGCACAAATGTCAAGCACACAAATGCGCTCCTCACACTCCACAAATTACCTTAAAACAGAAACTCTCATTTCCCCTTACCGTCGGCGAATAGGCGGTAGGTTGACGTGCAAACCACATTTTGCACTCAACAGTTTGTGGATTTTCTGGTACTGTGTCTATTTTGTTCAACATCCTCAACTTACTAATCCCCCGTCGTACTTATGAAATGGGTCGTCACAAAAAGAGTATGAGTTCGCTGAACTCAAAAAGGTTTGGACGAACCTTAACGGTTCGTCCTAGTACAAACAAACCTCAAACCCTAGAAATTTCCAAGTTTGACCAAACCTATTCAAATCGGTTCAGTATAGTTTGAAACTCTGAAAAAGTTTGACCAAACCCGTTAGGGTTTGGTTCATGCTCAAACCTAGGAACGGGAGTGACACAAGTTTTGGGAATTGGTGCTAGACAGATAGTGCAGGTCGGAGGAGTGCCCGAGGGGCGAATATGCATGGAGGTTTGAAGACGAATGTGTAAAAATGGGCAAAGATGGGGGGTCTCACAGTTTCACGAGGTCGAGCAGTGCCAGGTGTGGTGGGATGGGCCCACTGAAGGTATTGTAGCCGAGAGATCTGGATACGTACGCAGACAGAAGAATAGGCGAGAAAAGAGTTGTTTCATTCCCAAAGAGAGGTATGACGATTGTAACAGGGGGACGAGTGGAGGAAAGGATGTGAGGCAATGGTAAATAGGGGTTCCAAATTACAAACCAAGGTGAGAATGAAAGGGTGCGGGAAAGGAGGAATAAAGAAGTCTACCTGATGATGAGATGGGGGGGAGGGAAAGGGGGGGAGAGGAGGGGGGCCATGTTGGTATATGAGGATGTAGGCGAGAAAGAAGGGTGAGTGTTGTGGGAGGGTAAGGCAGGAGGCCATGAGACAGTCACTGTCTTGTCGGGGTGCTGGTTGGTGGTGTAGGTTTGAGGTATCGAACGTGTGAGTGGGTATCACAAAAGAGTGACTGGAGTTAGACGGGAAGTGCATTGAGTTAAATATCACTTGGGATAAACGCGAAGGTGCGAACCATCCCAAGGGGATAAGTGTTAAAAACAGCCCGCAGCACCATAATTTCATTCAAAGGGATCAACACTTGTAGAGACAGTCAAACGATGCAAGAGTAGTCTTGCCTTGATGCAAACGCAGCTGCACCTCCGACAGAAGAATCCAGAGCACAGAAATAAAGGACAGAGAGGTCCAACGAGGCAAAGGAAAACGGATCAGCAGGGAATGCATGAAGGGAAAGACGGGAGTTGAGTTATTAAAATGTACTGAATCGTGATAGTACAGTAAGTAAACGATGGGGTTAGGCTTGAAAAGGTTGGGAAGGAGGGGGAGGGAAGAGTGGCATACATTGACTGGATGCTGGCGGCAAACGCAGGGGGAATTGTACCGGACAGAAGATTCCCTGAAAGGTCTCTGCAACAGAGGGGGGCAGAACAACAGGTAGACTGAGCGAGGAAGGCACGAGGGTTATGGACAAGGACAGAGTGTGGATTTGACGATGGGAAGCGGGGAGGACACATGAAACTTACATTTCAAATAGGCTTGTTAGGGCCGAGAATGTTGTCGGAATGGTTCCTTGAAAACGGTTGTTTCTTAATATTCTGACACAAAACGGAGACAGAACGAGTGTGTTCTTCATACGGCCACTGGGGTGACCCCGATAGGCTTTAAGAGAACTACAAGCTGCCTTTCTTGTGTGTCAAACCGCTACAGCTTCGAGTCGAACAGATTGAAAGGTTCAACTTACAGTTAGTACAAGTTGACCGGATTCGAAGGTTGTTGGCTGTGTGGGATTGGACATGTCTTGCGTCTTGGACACGTGCCTAGCGGCAACTTGAGACTCTAATGATTATGACGCTACGACTAAGAGGAGGAAGCCAGGGTGCAAAACAGGGACGTGCAACACAACTATCCATTATTACACAAATGATTATCGTACTGAACGGCCATTTGCATTCTCTCACCAACAACATTCAACATGGTTTTGAGTAAACCCGAGGTTGGCTTGTGGGGTGTGTGGGTGATGGGACGTACTCCATGGTACGCATGAGCAATGTCCTTGTCCAAGGATGACATGCGTACCATGGATGGAGTGTGTCCCATCTCCCCACTTGTGGAGTCCACAAGCCTTCGATATGGTGTCACATGATCCGTGATGGTGGATTACGGCGTTCAGGGAGGTGTGGCTAAACGTGGTGGGCGTTAAAAACAACGCCCTAAAACACCTTAATCACCAATAAACACCAACCTAAACTTGACTAAAAGAGTAGAGTTTGGTTCCGCCAAACAAATTCATTAGATTCTATGTATGCTAGCTGATGGAGGTTGTGGTCTAGGCTGTGGGAGGGGAGTAAGGCAAAAGTCGAGCTAAATAAGGAGATCGACTAGTATTTTCCGTCGACCTAAAAGAGGTGTCACGGGACTTTTCCAAGGAGCACATGTCAAACACGAACATCTTCCGGCGAACATGAGCGTGCTCATGTCTGGCATGGTGCAACAGCAAAGGGGTTCACACTGCTGCCTGCCAGCAGCAAGCCAGTGGGCCAGCATGGCACCATGGTAGAAACACTGCAAGGCAGCATGGCAGCACGGCAGGATGGCAGGATGGAGAATGACATAGGAAGCATTGACTCACAGCGACTGCAGATTGACCAGATTCGTCCAGCTCTTGGGCAGGTACCCTTCCAGGTTGTTTCCGCTGAGGGACCTGCAGAGCGTGAGACGGCTGTCTGAGATTCTAGGGCAGGAGTGTGAGTGCTTGTTTGCCCTACCGAAGACGGTGATGCAGCAAGAAAACAATTGAGATGGCGTGGGTGGGCCATTCATCTGCGTATCATCTTTAACAAGACACACTAGCACTCGTCATGTGCTTTGCTTATCCAACACCCAATCAGTACTAGCCTTCAATGCCTTAATCGAAATATTTAGATAGAAACCCATGTCTTTAAAATAACCGTTCAATAATAAGTGCATATATAAGCATTCTCCCTCACCTACTATAGAGATAACTTTGAAAAGGCATGCTTGCAGCACTTACATGTACGCAACACTCACAGGCTGGTGAGTGCTGTGAGCTCTGAGATGTCGTCATTCAGCAGTCGCCCCTGCCGGTGTGGATCGTCCGTTTCCAGGTTCCTGCGCACAAGAGATGGCCGGCAGGAGTTGCCCGCACTGAGACAAGTCCAGTCACGCCACGGTCATGGTTAACTGGCACGTGTGGTGTGGTTCCCCTCATGCCTCATGGGAGATGCAGCGTGCCACGTGTGTGTGGCAATGGTGGAGAACGAGAGTAAAGTGGGAGGAGCTCACAGATACTGAAGTTTGGAGAGCTGGGTGACCCAGTTGGGAAACTCCACGGCAGGAAGGAAGGCTAGGTCCCTGCAGGGAGGAAAGCAAGAGCATGACGAATAGACAAGCCAATAGAGCTGCAGCCGTGTATGGCGAGGGGATGGAGAGGTGTTAATCATGCACAACCACAAGCTTGCTTCACCTGTCACCTTTGGAAATTGGACTTTATGAAGCTTACAGTCCAGTGAGCGAAGTCATATATTGAATCTCTCTGGGGATCTCCCCTGTGGCGTTGGTGAGCGCACTGAGTTCCCTGCATTCATGCACACGTAGTCAGCACGAGTGAGCGCACTACGATTGCCTTCTGCGAGCACCTCTCATGGTCATGTGCAGATGAAGAATAAGAACGCTACTACGTTCTTACACTGGAGTGATGCTTGCTTACAGCTGCTGAAGCTTTCTCAGGTGAGAAAGAATATGCAGGGAGGACAAGTCCCCAGTGAATGCCTCGAAGCTCTTTAAACTCCTGGATGATGAGAGGAAAGAGAGGCATGGGAGTAGCGATGAAGGGTGTAGCCTGTAGGATAAGAACATGGGGAATTCAGCATGGCATGCTGGAGCGATGTAGCTCAGCTCAGCGGTGTACAGTGTTTGCAGGGCGTGCAGTGTTTACAGGGTGTACAGTGTTTGCAGGGCGTGCAGTGTTTACAGGGTGTACAGTGTTTACAGGGTGTACAGTGTTTACAGGGTGGACAGTGTTTACAGGGTGTACAGTGTTTACAGGGTGGACAGTGTTTACAGGGTGTACAGTGGTTGCTGAGCGTACAGTGTTTGCAGGTTGGTGAGGGAGGAGAGCCAAGCCAGTCCGTCCACAGTGCCAGTCAACCTGCTGCCGTCAAGCGGCCCAATAGCTCTGAGTGCACACGTGGCATGCAAGCAGCAACAGAACGCATGCAAGGTGCACACGTAGCACATAAACACATGCCACAGGCCACATACATATGAGGGGCGTAGGAGAAAACAGGATTTTTTTCGAATTGAAATTAGCGCCGAGAGTAAACGAACGACGTGAGAAAACGGACAGTAATGGAATGACGACGCACGAGGTGAAGTCAAGGAAAGGAAGGACCAACTAGGTCCGGTCTATAGAAGTGGAAGTGGCTGGGAACAAGGATCGAACTGGCGAGTGCAGCATCAGGGGGTGAAGTGGAGTAAAGGAGGGTGGTGGTGAATGCGCATGATATTGGTTGGGCCAAGTGCTAATGAGCAATGGAAGAGCAGCACGAACAAGTGGGTGAGGCCGGTGAGACTGGCGAGGGATGGAATGGGCCCCACCAGATCAAAGTTAGTGAGATCACTATCATGGGAGTGCAGGGAACAGCAGTGAAGAAAGCAACAGAAAAATAAAAAGGAGTCTTGAGTGGTCTTCAGAGCTATGGCTTCATCATAACCTTTACAGCTTGTGGTCTAGTGCACAAGGGAGGCATGCAAGGCAGGAAGAGGAGGGTATGGTCAGATGCTAAGTTGGAAAAAACGATATTTTGAGATTGCGTATTGAGTTTATACGCATCTAAAATTCGTACGCTGCGGATTTTCCTAAAATTCGCCAAATTTCTCTCGGGCTGACCGGAAAAAATAATCAGTTAGAGTTCGCGATCTGGCGAGCTCAAATTTGAGTCTCGAAATTCAGACCTACAAATGCGACTTCAGATCTGAATTTCGAGATTGTTTGGTGGATCATCCCCTCCTATCCTATCCACCGCTCAACAACCCACTCCACCTCATCCAATTTGTTGCCAACTTCTACCAGACTCATCCTCCCCACTCAATGTCAGGCCGCTTTTCCCGTCGATAATCTCTCCGTTTGATTTCTTCCTCCCCTTCTTATTTCACTTGCAACGATGACCTACTAAAGCAGCAATTAGGTAGTGGACTACTACAGCAGCTCCCGTTTCCATCTCTTTGCCTAGCATCTAACCTGCCCGGGGGAAATGTTTTTCCTGCCCGGGCAAGCGGATTCTTGTGCGTACCAGACCCCTCCCGGCCAGCGTTTTGCGTTTAGACGCTAGCGTTTGTACGAAAGCGTACTAAACGCGAAACGCGTTTTTTTCCAACTTAGGTCAGATGTAATGAGTGGAATGGTATAGAGAGTTGTAACATGTCGGAAGTGGGAGCGAGATGGAAGGACAGAACATAACGAGGTTGGGGCGAGGGCATGGGAAACGAAAGAAAGGCATAGTGCATGCAAGGTGGATGTAGTGGAGGGAGAGGAAAAATGGTTGGTGACGCACAGGTAATGCAGAGTAGCAAGACTGGTGATGGAGGCAGGTATGGAGGCACTCTGGGAAGAATCCTTAACGAATTGGCTTGCATCCCTGCCAGCACACGCATGCATGCACGCAATACCAGCTCCCACTCCGCCCCCATCTCCCACCCCAGTCCTCTCCAATCCCACCACCACCCACAACCTCCACTTTCAACCCATCCCCCTCCCCGTCCGGATTTCGATGCTCCCACACGCACACAAAATCCAGCCCATGTAGAATCAAGCACAGTGGGGCAGAGCACGGAGGAGCAGAAGCAGCCAGCGGAAGAATGATATACAGAGGACGATAGCGCCCGGCGCCCTAGACTAGGCTGGGCCGAAACGGGAGCTACTGCAGTTGTTTGTAAGCCCACAGATGGCCAGTCCAGCCGTGGTGCCAACATCCTCGTTAGATGGATCAGGGAGTTGGTTTTGCAGGGACCTTACCACATTCAAGTACTCGTTACACCTTGGTGGGGCAGAAAAAGTGGTCAGCAGGATTCGAAACCAAGGGTCTAGATAACAGTACAACGCCCTGTGCCCTAAACCGCCTAAAGGGGGGGTTCTTCAGAGGTGGTGCGGTTAGATGCAATCAGAGCAACGAGGGGAAGTTAGGGCAACGAGGGATAAGGGAAAACACAGAACCGAGCAAAAAATAGGTTAACGGGGGAAAAAGGCAGCGAGCGTCGGCAATGAGACTCACAGGGAAACAACTAGCCCTTTGGGGCTGCATGTGACGCCAGCCCATGCAGAGCACGCAGTGGTGGCGTTGCTGTTGCCCGCCCAAATGCCCCACGCCTGCTTCAGCTGCAGCAGCAACTTCACTGCCGACAACGCGGAAATGTGGGCAGTTTCACGGAAAAAGGGAAAGCGCCTTCACTGTCCGCACATGCCGCGCAGCGGTGAGGCGCCTGTGAAGCGGCTGCTTGAGCGCGCGAAATTCTGTCTGCGCAATGAAGCTCCCAGTGCCGAGTGGGAGCATGAAATGTTAAAGAGAGCGTCAACTGGGACAAACCGGACTCACATTGCGAGTTTTCCAGAACGACGGGCCTTGCAGCGCTCCCGCCAGTCGCTGTGAAGCTGCGGGCCGCGTCGGCGCCGGAGCTGGTAGCGGCGACCTTCAGGAGCGAGCGTCGGGCGCGGCTGGGTCGAGCGCGAGACAGCAGGCGCTGTTTGTACGGACGCGGGGCATCTCGGAGCGGCAGGCGATCAGCGGCGCTGGAAACGGAGCACGCGGCGCCGGCGGCTGTGAGCGCGAGGGAGAGGAGAATGCAAGCCGCGGCGACATTTGCGGAGCCGCGTGGCCACGCGGCTGGCCGGGGAAAACGAATGTTAGGCGTGGTAGTGCGCATGATTCGGGCTCGTACTTCGTGACATGTGCCGTGTGTGAAGGAGTCTGGGAGACGGTAAGGCCTGTAATTGCCAAAGCAGGGAGGGGTGCGACAACTAGTAGCGCGAATAAGAGCCGCCGGCATTTGGAAGTTCCTAGCCCTGTGACCTGAGAGGAGCAGCAGTTGCTGATTTGCACTGGCGCTAATTTTCCGTTTGAAGCCGATCCTTTAATTCGGTTTCATGCCATCCGCACTCACGAGATTATTAGTCTAGAGAATGTAAACTGTGTTTGTCATCACGCCTTATGCAAGGAAAATATATTTTCCTTATCAGAATTTACTCCTTCGCGTACAACCCAACTTTCGGACATGCCCGATCAGCCGACATCATCTATCTCGACGCTACCTCGCGTCGCCTTCGGCTTTTCTTTTGCCCGACTTGCACCCAACCAGGCCCCAAACTGTCAGGGTAAAATACCCTGATTGCCCTGACTGGCGGCCGCTTTTTTTGGGGTTACCCTGACCCTGTCAGCCTCCCGGATTTCTTACCCTGACTCATAAAGATTTTGTTTCTTTGTACCCTTATGAAATCCGAGTTACAGATTGTTTCCCCTGACTTTCATCAGTGTTTTGAACCTGTTACACCGATACCGGTCTTTCGTAGCGAGGATACGGTGGATGTTGCCCAAAGTTCGTTTCTTGCTGTATTATTAGTAACGTAATCAACTTAAGTTCTTTTTACCCTGTTTCCATCAGGGTACTAGATTTTTTACCCTAGGAGTCAGGGTTGGCCCACCCTGGCACTCTAATTTGACAGGGTGTGCCAAAACCAATTTTGGGCCCTGCACCCAACCTCGTGTTCTCGAGCAGGCCTCATGATAGGATTTGATCCAGCCCTTTGCATAAAGGTTGTTACGAATAGTAATTATTGAAGCATCACTGTGCACTCCTTACCGCAGCAATCGAAGCACGCACTACCGAGAATGAGGACGAAAGGACGGAAGTGACGCGAAGGGTCGTACGGTTACGAAGTCATCTGGACCGTTGGGCAGACAGCATCAGGCAGCAGCAGTGGCGAGGATTCTGCCCCGGCAGTCTGTAACCGTCTGGAGTCGCACGGTTGGGTTTCGCTGTAATAAGGGAATGTACCCCTTAGAGTACATGGCTAGCTAGGTCGATTTGCATTCCTTCCCGTACTCTTATACCCTTGTACTTGCATGTTTTAATTAATCTTAAGCATTTTATATTCACTCTGCTATTGAGGTCAAGGGCCCATCATCTCTACTCAGTTGTGTGCGAACCTTTCTGAGGTGATCCTAGGCACGATCAACTTCTGATCGCAACATGGTATCAGAGCGACTCGGGAATCCTTCGCACTGCCACCTTCGAAATCTTCGACGATTGGAAAGTGGCGTCCGGCACACGCTCGCGTATAAGAATGGCCGGAGGATCTGGTGGTTAGACGAATCTGACGGCTGAAGCGCAGACCAACCCGGCTGCGACAAGTGAGGAAACGACGACGATTGGGACCGCCGTCCTCGCACAACCGCTTCAGCGACTCACCAGCTTGGAGCAAGGACTCCAAACATTGCGGAATGGCGACGCGGGAACTTCTTCCCAACCCTCTCAACCGACCTCGAACGTCCACAATACCGCCCCACACACCTTCTCCCTTGACACTAATGGCTCAACTCCCAAAACTCCCCGTCCCAGCGAAGAGGCAATTCTCTCTGCACAGTCAACGTTTTTGAGCATATCAAAAATAAAGACAAGTGTGTGTTTTGACGGCAGAGACTTCTATACTTGGAGCTTCGAGCTGGAGCTGGTGCTGCAAAATGCGCAGATTTTTCACTATTTCGACGAGAGTTACTCGGGACCAGCTGAGGACACCGACGACGCTAGGACGAGGTACTACAACGAGTCCCTGATGGCGTACGGGGTCCTACTGCGGAACATGTCGCTGGCGGAGCAATTAAGCTTTGCTCATACAAAACATCACCTGCTCCAGCCCTCGACGCTTGGCGCCTCCTGAATGGCGTGTACCAACCGAAGGATTTGGTTTCGTCAAGCCGCCTACTCCAGCAGCTACTAGAAACAAGAATGGCCCCATGGGAGAAGGCCAACAGTTACCTTAATCGCTGTCGGAGCTTACGCGATCAGATCGCGAAACTTGGGAGCACGATCTCTGAGGAGAACTTAGTGAACATTGTGCTTCAAGGGCTCAGGCCCAGAGTGGCGGCCCTGCAAGGCGCTTCTCCGACAGCAGGGGGTCATCTCGGAGGCCGCCCTATGCGCCGCCCTCCTCGTCGAAAAACGGGATATGGACCAGCAGCGACTAGCGCCGCGACGAGACAGGGAACTCGCCTTCTACGCCGACAACACGGAGGAGCGACGGCCGCGGCGCCTTTACTGCAAGATTTGCAGAAATTTTGGGCACCTGGCAGATCGATGCAAATACCGATCTCGCCCTCTTCAGACCAATCCGAGCAACTGGTCCGGCCGACAAGATGCACGGAATGACACGCGTCCAGCCCATGGGGCATCAACCCCCACTGCGCAACCTGAATCCAACGATCCAGCATCAGCAGCAACAGCCACCAACTGCGCACGTCCGCAACGTCATGGGCAACATGACAATGACTAGCGGATCCCGTCGTCCCCGTGCATGCTCACCGTCACCTGAGCCAGCACGGCACCCAATCAGAGCGTTCTCGAATAAACAATCCGTTCAGCACGCGCCACGACTTAACCGACGACGACGACCAGGACTGGAATCTCCCATTTCCGCTGCTTGAGAGCCCCCCGCACGTACCTGATACGTGGCCAGCACCGATCGAATGGATCGCGCGCGAATAGTTTCTAAAAGTTGACACACCGCACATCGTTACTTCGCAACTGGCGCTGCTCGCACGTAACGACAACAGGCGCTACAACACGTGGTACCTGGATAGCTGCTGTGGGTAGCATATGGTGGGCTCCGAGCGTTACATATCCAACGCCGTCGCCACCCCTGCCGTCACCTACGTCACCGTGGCGAACAACACGCGCCTGCGCACAAGCGAGCAAGGCATCGTTGTGCTCAAGGCCAGAGGGAGCAGGACGCACATCACGCTGAACGACGTGCTGATCGTGCAGAATCTACGCTTCAATCTCCTCTCGGCGGCGCAACTCATGGACTGCGGGGTAGACCTCAGCACTGACCCCGAGACACGTGACATTTTACTCCACTTCACGATGCCGAACAAGACGCGCAAGCAGATCGGGCGAGCGCACTTCGAAAACAGAGTTTACATCCTCGACTTCAGTATTCCCGACTGCAGTGGTGACTCGCAGGAGGTCATCGATCTCGTTCCCCTGCGCTTCGTACACATTCACCACCGTGACTGGAAGCACCCTGACGGAAGACCGTGGGTGCCTCATCACGCTCACCCGCGCGAAACGGCGCTACATGACCCCGACCCCGACGGCGTCTGTAGAGATTGCCACGCGCCCACGGCATCAACCAGCGCGATTGCCGGCCGTGGCCTCGCCGCTATCGCCGAGGCAGAGCGGGAAGCACTGCCTGAAAAAGGGCTGTCTCACCTGGACCTCGAGACCGCCACGCTCGCCGTTTTCGGAACGGGGGAACATTCCCTTCCTGGACATGCATCACAACACCTTCGGGGTATGCTGCGCGGCGTCGGCGTCGGCGTCGGCACCTTTGATGCGCACGGAGTCCCGCGGCCCCACACAAAGGAGA